GTGAAATAACGACGCGCGTACCGTCCGAAAACGGTTCGATTTTTCAAACTTTACCGGCCGTTTCGATCCGATCCGTTCCTCTCGCCGCGAACGGCTCTCGCCCGCCCGTAAAGCGCCGAGTTTCTAGTTTCCGAAACGGTACCTCTTCCTTCCGAACGTTTCGCGAAACCTAAAAAAAACCGAAAAAACCGCGTCGACGTCGCCCGCCCAAAATTTCTAACGTCAGTGACCTCTTCCTTAAAAACAATCGATCACCGCTTACTATAGTCGACTAGCGCAGTTTCTGGCATGCTAACGCTATGCCATTGGTACTTTTGTCTTATTTAAAAACCTCACGTAGCGCAGTTGCTGGTATGCTAATGCAATGCTAGCGATATATACTTTATCCCTATCTCTAATCATTTTCTATCCTTTGACATGTTTGATCTGGTATCTGGTCTCTGATGTCTGGTGTCTGGTATCTGATGTCTGGTATCTGGTGTCTGGTATCTGGATCTGGTGTCTGGTATCTGGTGTCTGGTGTCTGGTATCTGGTATCTGGTGTCTGGTGTCTAGTATCTGGCGTCTGGTACTGGTATCTGATGTGTGGTGTCTGGTGTCTGGTATCTGGTATCTGATGTCTGGTATCTGGTGTCTGGTGTCTGGTATCTGGTATCTGGTATCTGGTGTCTGGTATCTGGTATCTGGTGTCTGGCATCTGATATCTGGTGTCTGGTATCTGATGTCTGGTATCAGGTATCTGTATCTGGTATCTGGATATGGTATCCGGTGTGTCTGGCATCTGGTATCTGGTGTGTGGAGGATCTGGTATCTGGTATCCGGTGTCTGTGCCTGGTGTCTGGCATCTGGTATCTGCTATCTGGTATCTGGTGGTCTGGTATCTGGTTGTCTGGTATCTGGTATCTGGTGTCTGGTATCTGGTGTCTGGTGTCTGGTATCTGGTATCTGGCATCTCGTATTTGGTATCTGGAGTCTGGTATCTGTATCTGGTATCTGGAATCATATATCTGGTATCTGGTATCTGATGTCTGGTATCTGGTATCTGGATCTGGTATCTGGTATCTGGTGTCTGGTATCTGGTATCTGGTATTTGGTATCTGTTATCTCTTTATCTGGTATCTGGTTTCTGGTGTCTGGTATCTGGTGTCTGGTGTCTGGTATCTGGTATCTGGTGTCTAGTATCTGGCGTCTGGTATCTGGTATCTGATGTGTGGTGTCTGGTGTCTGGTATCTGGTATTGGTGTCTGGTGTCTGGTGTCTGGTATCGGTATCTGGTGTCTGGTGTCTGGTGCTGGTATCTGGTATCTGGTGTCTGGTATCTGGTATCTGGTGTCTGGTATCTGATGTCTGGTATCTGGTATCTGGTATATGGTATCTGGTGTCTGGCATCTGGTATTGGTTGGATCTGTATCTGGTATCCGGTGTCTGGTGTCTGGCATCTGGTATCTGCTATCTGGTGTCTGGTATCTGGTATATCTGGTATCTGGCATCTCGTATTGGTATCTGGTGACTGGTGTCTGGTATCTGGTATCTGGTATCTGGAATCATATATCTGGTATCTGGTATCTGGAATCTGGTATCTGGTGTCTGGTATCTGGTATCTGGTATCTGGTATTTGGTATCTGTTATCTCTTTATCTGGTATCTGGTTTCTGGTGTCTGGTATCTGGTGTCTGGGTCTGGTATCTGGTATCTGGTATCTCGTATCTGGTATCTGGTATCTGGTATCAGGTATCTGTTGGTATCTGGTATCTGGTGTCTGGTATCTATGGTCTGGTATCTGGTATTTGGTATCTGTTATCTCATTATCTGGTATCTGGTTTCTGGTGTCTGGTATCTGGTGTCTGGTATCTGGTGGCTGGTATCTGGTATCTGGTATCTCGTATCTGGGTTTGGTATCTGGTATCTGGTATCTGGTGTCTCGTATCTGGTTTCTGGTGTCTGGTATCTGGTATCTGATGTCTGGTATCTGGTATCTGGTGTCTGGTAACTGTGTCTGGTATCTGATGTCTGGTATCTGGTGTCTGGTATCTGGTATTTGGTATCTGTTAACTCTTTATCTGGTATCTGGTTTCTGGTGTCTGTTATCTGGTGTCTGGTATCTGGTGGCTGGTATCTGGTATCTGGTGTTTGGTATCTGGTATCTGGTATCTGGTGTCTGGTATCTGGTATCTGGTATCTCGTATCTGGTTTCTGGTGTCTGGTATCTGATGTCTGGTATCTGGTATCTGGTGTCTGGTAACTGGTGTCTGGTATCTGGTATCTGGTATCTCGTATCTGGTATCTGGTTTCTGGTGTCTGGTATCTGGTGTCTGGTATCTGTGTCTGGTATCTGGTATCTGGTCTGGTATCTGGTATCTGGTGTCTGGTATCTGGTATCTGGTATCTGGTTTCTGGTGTCTGGTAACTGGTGTCTGGTGTCTGGTATCTGGTATCTGGTATCTGTCTGGTATCTGGTTTCTGGTGTCTGGTATCTGGTTCTGGTGTCTGGTATCTGATGTCTGGTATCTGATGTCTGGTATCTGGTATCTGGTATCTGGTATCTGGTATCTGGTGTCTGGTATCTGGTGTCTAGTATCTGGTTTCTGGTATCTGCTATCTGGTATCTGTTATCTTTTATAAGTTATCAGTTTTCATTTTTCTATTTTAATTTTTAATTTTTCATTTTTATTATTCTATTTTTTAATTTTTCGATTTTTCGATTTTTCGGATTTTTGATTTTTGATTTTGATTTTCAATTTTTCATTTTCATTTTTCATTTTTCATTTTCATTTTTCATTCTTCAGATTTAGTTTTCAGTTATCAGTTATTTGTTATCTGTTACCTGTTTTCTTTTATCTGTTACTTTTTATCTGTTATCTGTCATCTTTTATCTTTTATCTGTTATAAGTTATCTGTTATCTGTTATATGTTACCACCTGTTACCTGTTACCACCTTTTACCTGTTATCTGTTGTCTGTTATCTTCCATATAGCATTGAAAATATCCTGTATACAATTGTATAACAGACTCAGATTTATGTGAGATGCCGGCAACGTCGCATGTGTTGTTGTTAATACCATACATGGCGTTATAAAATCTTCCATGTAGCAAATTGTATAGCAGACTTAGATTTATATGAGGATCGTCGCATAAATCTAGCTATAACACGACTTGCAAAAAAATGGCGCTTGACACTGACATATGTCAACCGTGTTCGTCTACGGATAGCAGTGGACTATGCTTTCTTCAGTGTATATGTTTTCTGTTTTGTAATGTCAATGTCATTGTCATAGGTAATTTTTTCTAACCTGGAAAATGAAATGTATTTTGTTTAAAATTAAAATTCAATAACTCCTATTGTGAGATGTGTGCATCTACAACATAATGAAAGGAAAAATTAAGATTCTGAAAGTTAATTCCTAAATATCATAGTAAGGAAATCCGTAAAACTAAAAAAAAAGTAAACATAAACACCTTGAGAAAACTTCTTCCGTATCAAGTGGTTAAAGTGGAGTTTTAAAACAATTTTTGTTGAAAATAAGGCCGTTAGTTTACAAGCAGGTATGTAACTAAGCGATCCGCTAATGTGTGGGTATCTTGCTTATGAAAAATGCTGTATTTAGATATCATTGCTATTCATATAAGCTACCGTTCTTTGATAGGATATTTTCAAATTGAACTTTTGTCTTATTGTTACTATTTATTACAGAAAATGGTGCAATGCTGGGCACCCGACTGTAAGCAGTATAATGTTAGAGAAACACGTAAGATGTTCAGGTTTCCCAAAGATCCAAAAACAAGGAATCATTGGATAAAACTTACAAGGTAACACCACAAAGACCATACTGGAATTATCATTTGTTAGGAACATGCGAAACGTACAATTGAATACAATAAAAGTAATACATGTATTGTTTCATTTGATTGCAGGAGAACAGTTGAACCA